ATAGTCAATATTTCCACATTATTTAATTGTTTGCTATGTTTTGATTGTTTGTTATGTTTTGTGAATATATACTATTACTCCCCTTCAATTTGAGAAGGTTTGCTTTAAGTAATTGACTTTTGTGTATAATTGATTTGTTCATACGTTTTCATCATTTCATTATTTGTTTAAGCATTGTATGTGAATGTGTGAATGTGTTTTGTCCAATAAAGTTTGTAATGTTTTTAATAGACTATGTGTTTAATGTTATTCATTATCTTTGTCTGATTTAATCATTAATTCTTTTTGACATTATACTGAATGTTATTCAAGTTTATACTCAAATAGATTGTATGTATACTTGTGTATTTTGTTTGATTATTATGTATACATCTGAATAGTTTGTTATTTGGATAATTATAATCTATAGTATTGTTTAGTAAGGATAAGTTTGTGTATTTTGTCTGTTATATTTGTATACATTGTGATACATTATTTTGATTCACTCAAAGTATTCAAGCTATAGTACTTTGTTTCTGTTCCATTTATTAATTTTATTATAGTCTTTATCTGAATTTTTATTTGTGAAAGATATACTGTTATAATATTGTTTAAACTTTGAATAGTTAATGATATCTGTTATTTATTGATCATAAATATATTCTTTGTGAATTCTATCTTTCTACTGTTTGTAGTGATTGATTAAATCTGTCACACATTGAAGATATTTAATCATTTATAGAGTGTCCAATTGACTTCCAAACTTATGTTTGTTTCTTTTGATTTTGTTCCAACATTTGTTTGTCTTTTGTGTACTTGGTAGCAGTGTTTGTTCTGTTGCTTGGCCTCTCAGACTATCTGACATTAGGCTCTAATGTTTTTGAAGCATTAGTTATTCTGTTTGTATCTGTATTATTGTATTTTTTCAAGTTTTGAAGTGACATTTAATTGTTTATAACATTTTGTATGTTAATAATAGTTTTTCAATATGTTCAAAATATGTTTGTTTTTATTTAAACTGTTTGTATTAGTTGTATTAACTTAATACTTTGTTATCATGTATATCTTATTAATACATTATATTGTTATAATGTATTTGTAACTATTGTTTGTTTGTTTTTTGTATTGTAATAGTAATTGTATAAGGTATAAGATATGTATTTGTCTGTATAGTTTATAATGTTGATATTATACATATATGCATTATTATATTGTTTCTTTGTTTGTCACACTATGGTTCAATTTAATACTTTGTATAAGTATATATGTTTGTTATTATATGTTTCAAATGTTTGCAACATTGTTTTGTAATTTTATTAATTCTTTTTATTGTTATTATACATTTGTTTGATTGTATTTGTATATAACTTTACATTATTTAATAAATAATAGTTTTATGTGTTTGAATACATTATTATTATTTTGTACATTTGTATATTTGTATATCTATACAATATATACATATTTGATAAATATATGTTATTTATTGTGACTGTTTGTTTGAGATAGTAGAAATTGTTTTTATATTTGAGTTATTATGCTTTAGTAGCATTTATACTCTTGTTTCCATATTATTTGTTTGTCTAATCATTATTAGATTGATTGTATGTTTGTAATAGTATTTCTTTATATTATTATTATGCTTTACTAGTATTATTCTTTTGTTTATAATATTAATCATTTGTATTATTAATATAATATCAAATTTTTGTCCATAATGTGAGATGTTATTATTATAATGTATCTCTATAGTGTAAGATAAAGTAGTTTAGTATTTGAATATAGTATTACTGGGTACTCATTGTATTTAAAGTAACTAGTCTGTCCAAGGTTATTTTAATAAATCAATACATGTTTAGGATGCTCAGACAGGTGTGTCTAGGTCCTTGTAGATAATATGTTCTGATTACAAGTATTATAGCATGTCTTGTTGTATAGAGCAATTGTAGTCTTTTGGACAAGACAATTCACATTTGGTAAGCTCAGATAAGAGTACCAAAGGTTTGTAGACAAGTAGAATAGATTGTACATGTAGAATCAAATGGATTCAGCATTAAATAGAGTAGTTCAATAATACTTATTAAGTATAATACAACTGAGTGTATCAAATCATCTGTACTATAGTGTATAGTATACTGAAGCATTTGAGATGATGATTGTAGTACATATAATCATACATATAGTCACTGAGGGGGAAATCATAATTGCTAAGATAATGATTTTAAAGTGTTGTATTTGTAGAGGGTAAGATAAAAGCATAGTAACAATGTAGATATGAGTAGGGAGTGTAAGGCTCATAACCTGTTAGTGTGTTAAGGTTGTAAAGTTCTCTAAACAATAGGGAACATTTGTCTACAGATTTGTACACTACTCAGGATAATACTAAGAGTAAGTCACACAAGTAGAGGTTCAGTAGACTCTGCTCATAGTGTATAGGTGTTAATACAAGTCAACTGTGTGTATGTTCTTATGAGCTTCATTGTCTGTAGATTAAAGTAATATATATACTATCTAATATTATATGTCTTGAATGTATATCTCAGAAAACATGTCTCTACAATAGTGTATATTTGTAAGACATTTGTATACTTTGAGACATATAATGCATTTATCTAAAATAAATGTTAACATGACTCTTAACTAATAATACAAAATAACTGTAAGACAATGCTAGACTTTCAGACTGTAAGGTCCCTAAAGGTATTACTACTTAAGAGAGACTCTAGTCAACCAGCAAATAAAGGCTAGAGATTGAGCTTTATAAGTAGTAGGTTAAGAAGTGTTTAGAAAAGAGTGTAACTATGTAAATTGTAAAGACAACACACAAACTCAAAAGAGTGAAAGAGAGTGAAGGATGGTAGTGATTCAACCTCAAGAGTAGAGTATAAAATAATAGAAAATGAAGTAACAAATGAGTGAGGAATAATAGGGAATTAATAGGATGGTAATTTAATTTAATAGTTCTTTAAGAAAGTAAATAGTATGTTTATAAAGAGAGTAAGGAATACTCAAACAAGTAGTGGCTCAGATTCGGTAGAGGGAGGGGATTAAGGGGATTGAGGCAGGAGGAGTAGCTGAGTAGTAGCTCTAGTTAAGGAAGTTAAGTAGTAGCTTAGACTATATACAGAATAAATTAAACAGTAGTTCAGACTCAAAGGAGAGTAGGATTGTATAGAGAGGATAGTCAAGTAGTAGCTCAGACTAGGAGGATATTAATCAAGTAGTAGCTTAGATTAAGAGTAGTATTAAGGTAGAGATGAGTTTTTTGACTCTTATGTTAGGAGAGATGTGTTCTCTAGGTTGATAGTACTCTCAAACTGTGAATGTAGACCTGTAGCCCTGATCCAACTATATTCTCAAAGCTACCAGCTAGGATTTATACTAAGAGAACAAGTAGGAGTACAAGAAGAGTCAAAAAACTAAGGAACTACTGTATCTACAGACTGCCTTTTATAATAACTAAATAACAAGAGTAAAGTAAGGAATAAAACTTGAGAATAAGATAAAAGAAATAATAAGGACAAATATTACAAAGCTAACAGGCACATTAGAGGTCAGGAAGAATTAACAGAGTGTTACACATTAGAGAATATAGGCTAAGAGGCTATTATACAAGAGAGGTACAAGTTACTATATTGAGTAAGAAATGGATTGGCTGTATTATAATTATATATACTGTCTCATGTCTGTATAGCTCTCTCCTACACTCAATACTAAGCCAATCTTCATGAGACTTTGTAGGACAATAGATGAGATGTTAAGAATTATGAAAATCTGGTAGTAATATTGGTTTTTTTACAAAACTGACAGAGATATAAAGAAAATGAAATAGGTCCAATCCTACAATCCTAACAATAGATAGTCTAAGTATAATATACATAGTATATACTTATAGTATACTTTTATTAAGATAATAATGATACAACAAGTGCTCTTACACTATTATATACATTAATATACCTTTTGTATAAATTATAAGACAACAACAACAATAATATTATTGTTATATTGTAAGTATTACCCTTTTTTTGAAATTATAATAAAAATGTAATACAAGCATAATACTTTAAGCTATTATACAAAGTTAGTATAATACTTGTAATAGATTGTATTCATCCATAACACTTACTTAGCCTTTATATACATTAACATGTCTTATACAAACTTTACAATTGATTTGTAAGTCTTGTAATTACTTTACAATATACATACAATACTTATGCTACTTTACAAAGTCTACAATATATTATAAGAAATGCAACTTTTTCCTGATGAAGGCAATTCTTGTGCCATGCATATTTCACTATCTGGGGCCTATTAAATCAGTATAAATATTGTTGAAGTTACATTTTCTGTCAAGACCTTTCTCAATATATTGTAATTTCAAGAACTCACATAAAGCAAATGAAGCCTTCTTCTTTATTATTTCTCAAGGTTGAATATTTGAATAAAATGTATTTGTGAGATGATGATGATTTCAGGCCAGCACACTCTGTAATAAATGTGAAATAAACAACTTTGTGGCCCTTATATAACTGTGACTCTGGAACACCAAACACATTGATCCTAATTACATAGCACTTTTCAATAAAGTTGTCTGGTAGATTAGAAAGGTCTGCTGAATAGCCCTCTGCAGAAGACATGGTTACTGTGTTTCTGGTTGTTTAGATTCTAGTTGACAAATTTCAGGAACAGATACAGGGGAAGCCCCTCTGAATGTTGGCATTTATAAGTTTACAGGTACACACAAGACATGACCTTCCCTAAAATGGTTCTTGAATGTGCAATACAGATAGACCCTGCATGACTCTGTAGATATGCTTTGCAAACATACGTTGCACTCATGATAAATTATTGTTCCAACGTCACATGTGATTAATGGCCTGATACTATTGGCAGTTACTATAGTCCATTGCTAGAGTAATCATTCAGTGCATTTATTTTGCACAGTTATGACAACATGTACAATGCACACTAGTGCATTCACTTCAGCTCTGCGAAGTACACACATGTAAATAACTATCTTTCCTTGTTGTAGTACAGTGGAATCAGCTCGGGAGAGGGAAAAATTCGTCACAAAGCAATAAAAAGTTCCAGAAGAATTCCATAACCAGTTCACGAAGTGCAACAAGGTCCTAGGAGGACACGAAACGCATACCAATGTCTTAGTGCATCAGAAGAAGAAAGAGGCAACTACAACGCAAACAAACGAAAGCAGTATAACACCAAACCCGAGTTGTCCGTTCCCGTTCAAAGTACCCAACCGCCCAGCAACAGCAGAGTTTCCACTCGTTTCAGGAGGTGCAACACTCCTCGTACTAGTCACAGTAGCCTCAAAGCTCGGTGAACTCGACGTACTTGAAGGCGGTACAGTCAGCGTCGAAGAAGTCAAGTCGCTAGCAGTCGATATTGACGTTTCCGTGCTCAGAGTTGAGTTTGCTGTAGCTGACCCGGATGTACCAGGACTGAGAGTGCTGGTGATCACAGATGTAGCTGGTGGAATGGAGAATGTTGTCGTAAATGTCGTAACAGGAGGGTTAGTTGATGCAGAAGAGGTATCTGCGCATAGTAAGATATTGCATACAACAAGAGCACAAGTAATAAGGTAATTCATACCTGTTGCGCCCAAACTGGTATCTGTAGTTGTAATCGTCACAGTACTTGTAGGACTCGTCTCCGTTCCAGATGTCGTTGATGTAGGCAAAGTGACAGAAGCTGACGAGACTTCACCAAACCTCATGTAAGACTAGCAAAATACAATTGTATAAACAAGACGATACGTACACACAATACATTCAGCCCGCACAATCCCGCTACCCGTCTCTTGATCATCCACGTCACACGATGATGCAAAGCATTGCATAACATCCGAGATGAAGGTCTGCGATTTACATACGCAAGGTAGATCTTGTCTAGGTCGTATATCAAATATCCTCTCATTAATATGTGCACGTCAAGATTAAGAGAGATAAATGTACGTACGAGCCCGCGCATCCCACCTGACTCGCAACTTGGCTCATACATGTCGATACACAAGCAGGGACATTTGCCTGTGCAGCAACACGAAGGCCCGATAACAATAATATTGTCCACCAAATCGTTCTATCCATCTCTATGTCCACAGTCAAAGCGTCAATTAGCGTCGAGAGTCAGCACAGAAGACCCTGAAGATGGTGGCCGAGAGGAAAGCGCAGCAGCAAGAAGAACGAGAGGCATGGTCGTAGGGAAGGGAGAAGCACAGAGAGGGTAGATCTAGTGGGCAGGTGATACGTGGCGCGTGCTCGTTGAAGACGGGACAATATTAAGGAAGTTCTCCGCCAAATTATTGTTAGGCACGGCCACTTTTGTTGGCAACATGGACACGGTGCGTTAGGCAGATTAATTCGTACAGGTCATCACCTCCTAGGCAAGAGTTGGGATGGCACAGAACAGATGGTAGCCATGAGTCGAGTGTTCCAGTTGTGCGCTGAGAAAAAGAAGCCTAGAAGAGAATAATTTCGAGGCAAGGTACAGAGGTATGAACGGAAGCACGAGCATTCTTTTATTAGAGCATCGGAGGGGTAGCTAGTTTGTGTATGACGCTAAAGCTAAATTCTAATCTGGCTGGTCATCTCGAGTACCTTGTGGCAGAGCAGCAGGCAGCAGAGTGGCAGTACAACCCATACCTGTCTTGCAACCAACAGTTCCTATCGACCCAAGTTGGTCATGCCCATACCGCAGATTCCAAGTGCACCCGAGGAGCCGGTGAAGAATGACCGATGGAGCACACGGTCAAGCACTAGTGGGATGCAGAAATAAATAGAAATGAATACTTCGCGAAGCGAAAATTGACACCTGCGTTCTGCTCACGCGCCATACCCAACACCTCTCGTTGCTTCTCAACCATCATCCCTTCCCTCCCCCTTCTTCCGTCTCTACACGACTCTTCTACAGCAAGTTTGAGGTCGTTGTAGGCTGCAAATATGGCGCGTTGGATGGTTGCGATCTTGTTATTCGTCGCGTTAGCACTAGGAAGCGCCGACGCACGTGTGGAGATGAAACGTCAAGGCGGGACAACGAGTTCGCTCTTTCTCCTCCTTTGTACAACAAACAGGCTTACTTACTTATTTATCCTTTTCCTCTCCAGCGACCACTTCATCGCCTGATACAGCGTCAAGCACAATCGCAACGACAACAGCAACAGTGTCATCACCGCTTTCGGGCTCACCGACCGAAACCATCGGCCACTCTTCGCTTTCCCTCCCACCGGGCCCAATAAGCACAACCAGTTCCGGCAGCGCATCACTAACAACCTTCACCACAACCTTCTCTCAACCTCCTATCACATCCATAGTCACTTCGACTTTGCCCGTCTCGTCGGGTACGAACTCAGGAAATACCACGGAGGCATCCACTTCGACGTCGAGCTCGTTGACAAGCTTGACACTTACTGTCCCGCCTGCTACGAGTACTGGACCAGCAAGCGCGTCTGCTACTGTGACCTCGACTCGTTCTATTGTACCAGTATCGACTAGTAACGCTGCTGCTCCAGGTCTCCATCAGCTTACTCTCAGTAGTTCTGGGTTGCTGGGCACAGTCTTGGGTTCCTTCTTCAGTATAATCATTGGCACACTTTTGCTCTGATTCAACTTACTGTTATTTTTACACTTTTGAATTTTGCTTTCACTGTTGTGCCTTGCTGTTGTTGTGGAATAAGAATTTTTTTTGTACTAACAATTTTGTCTTCATGCTTTCGCTTGAACACTGATTTTGTACAGAATTTCTTCTTGCTTGTAGCCTCCTCAAATTTTGTACACCTTTTTAACGAATCAATATTTTGTTGTAATATTTGCAGGCATTGTTAGATTTAGGAGGAATTTGGCTTTCACTCACAGACAGTATAATTTTGAGACAGTGCATGCAATACTGTAATAGCAGCCAACCAGTTTTATACTTGTATAGTCTGACTGTGTATAACAGTATAAACAGTGATGAAGTTGAGATCAGTATGAAATGTAGAACTAGTAGTAATGCATATAATGATTAAGGATATTGTATTTACTACAAAAAAGATTGTCTGCTAACATTATCAGACATTGTAAGGATTAGACTCAAAGAAGCTTTCCTGACTAACAGTCATGTTAATATAGTACAGTCCAGTGTTGTTGAAACCTTAGGGGATTACTAGGGAATCCCTTCTATTCTCTAAGGATGTAACAGGGTTAAACAGACAGGATGGAAAAATTTTGTAAGTAGTAGGATGAGATTCATATAATAATATAATATTTAAGCAAATGTACTACTTAGTCACAGTCAACTCTACATTATTTATTAGACTAAGTCTTATATATATATTAAAGACTTGTGTAATGTCAAATAAGTATGTCTTTATACTCTTAAAGAATAAGATGTATTTCTTTAAGATAAAATGTATATATTTAAACCCTACACTTTAAACTGATGTGTAACTGTATTTACTAATATTATTACTATATTTAGTACATTAGTGTAAGCCTACTATACAGCTTACTACAGTTCTAAGAGTTCTGAGCAGCTTACTACAGTCCTGAGGGTTCTGAGAGTTCTGTTCTAGAACTCTCTTACACAGTTATAAGTCATATATAGTTCTCTTTTTCACTTGTATTACACCCAATCCTGAGCTATACATATAGTCCTCTTTTTCACTCATATTACACATTCCTTTAGCCTGAGCCACTTTCCTTTCTCCTCTAGTATATAAAGCTTATGTTTACACCTTTGTTATACTAGTTCTTGTTTACTGACTAAAGGTGTGTCTTATTATATACTCTTAGTTCTTGTTTACTAACTGTAACAAAGATACCTTTGTCCTGTTAGTCTTTGTGTGACTTTCAGTCTTTAAGCTTAGTGTTTAGTACTCTACCAGTACTGTTCTACTTTTTTTTAAACATTAACAAAGTAGTCTTTGTTACAGTATGTATTAGTAAGGTTCTACTAGTCTTTCTAAACACTTTCCTACTGTTAGTAAGGTTCTAACCTTCCTGAACACAGTTCTGACATTAGTAAGACTGTTCTACCTTCCTAAACAATTATCAAGTCTTTACAGTCCCCTACTGTAACTATTACTTACAGCTCTGAAACAAGTTTTGTTTGTGTTCTAAACACATATGACTTAGTTCTAATACTAGATAGTACCTAACACAGTTATTATTAGATTATGCTCTGGATTAGGAAATCCCCAATTGCCTTATGTAGAGTTACTGTGCTTAGAATGTCTCAGACTATCAGACTTCACTATGTAGTATATAAGGCAGACACTTACTTGATGTCTTAATAAGAGAGAGTATAAGGTACTCCTACTACACTTGTTAAAAGGTTATAAGCCTTAGTACCTATTGAATGCCCCCATGTACTTGCTCTCACAGAACACCTTTGCCTCCTGCTAGTACACCAAGCCCTAGACCTACCTCTCCCTCCAAACCCATTACAATGTCATTTACAATGTATACCTTTGTTAATACTACAATAAAGGACTCTAACATTATAAAGTTCTTTAAGAGAATGGAAAAGTTGGCTAGTGTAAAGGGATACAAGATATAGTACTTATACATACACAGTGTACTCACTGTCATAATGCTCTCAGACTATCTTGAGTACAATCTCCCTTCCTCTAATAATGCTAGCATATGTACAAGTAATGTTTTGTATTATTGTATAACAAAAACAATAACTGATACAATTTATGTGAACTTTACAACACATACAAGTGTCAGAAGTCTCATGAAGGTGCTTTCTGAACAATACAATGTTCAAACAACAATGACACATGCTGTAGACATATCTATGTTGTTTACAGTAAAAGGGCATGTATTACAGTTTAATAAGATGTTAGACAATATTGAACAAATTTACAGACAGTTGTCTGTACATAATAAAGCCCCTAATGATAATATGTACATTTCAGCAATTAACCTTACTACTCCTCATGAGTATAGATGGGTAGCAACAATGCTGGACAAGCAGATTACCTATTATAATCAACTACCAACAGTTACTACAGCTCAGAAAGATGTTCTGACACTAGCTAAGTTGATACACAAATTGTAAAACACATATACTGAGTATCATTCTCAGTACTCTCAAACAAAACAAGATACTGAATAAGACAGTCTACAAACAAAGGGCAAAAGTGTAGCTAAAGGCAAAACAAAGCCTTATAATAAAGTTAAATGCTACAACTGTAATAAGTACAAGCATATGTCAAAAGACTATCAAAACCCTTTAACAAACAAAACAACAGAAGCTTGAAAGAAAAAACATAGGCAAACAGCTACTACTTCTACTACTACTACTATGTTGTCTCAACCTGCACTTAATACAACAGTATTTATTAGAGACAATAACAAAACAGTATTTATTGAAGATGTTAATGAAACACTAATACTAGAGTCTGTAATTGTAAAAGCCTCAGCATAAAGCTCTAACAGCTTACCTGTTCAATCTACTCTATCCACTGAATCCAATGTATTCTCAGCATTCAAAGTACAAGAGGATAGTGTCATGCAAGTAGACAACTTCATGAACTCATTTGACAATACAAAAGAAGTCATTAAGGAGTTCAATTACAATCCAAATGTATGTATTAATGTAATACATTACAATGATACTGAACTAATACAGAACTCAACCCTAATAAATGTTACAATTGTGAATAAATTGTCATTCACACTTAGCAAAAGTAGAGTAATGACATTTAACATAAAACTATGAGACAAAGCTAATGAGCATACTAAGGTGAATACAATTTCACTACAAAATGTATACTATCATCCTAATCTGAACTTCACACTTGTTAGTAAAGTGCTATTATGTAAAGCAGGATATGTTTTAACAAAAACAAACAATGAATGTATTATTTATTCTCCTACTCATACAAAGATTAGTGAAATACATGTACAAAATAACTTGTATATGATAGTTTCTCATCATAATAAACAATCTATTAACACAATCACTATTGTTGATTTACATTAATGAATGGGTCATGTTAATTTCAATTACTTGTACAAACTCATACAAGAGTATCCTGAGATTATAAGTCAAAAGATAACAGACAATAAAAATGCACAGTGTACAGATTGTATTAAAGCAAACATACAATACAATGAAATACCAAAAATACAAACTACACCTCTTGTACAATGTTATAGAGATTATCTCCACATTGATATTTGGGGACCTGCCCCAGTACAAGCTTACAGTAAGTACAAATATCTTTTTACTATTGTAGATGATGCTACACAATGGGTAACTATACTACCTATGTGGCATAAAAGTAATACTTTAACTGAATATGTAAAGTATACAATGAGACTCTTTATACAGTATAGTATAAGAGTTAAAACTCTTCAAAGTAATAATGATACAGTGTTCCTAAGTAAAGACTTTACTATGTATATTGAAAGTCAAGGAACAATATGTAGATTAACAGTACATGATACACTGTAGCAGAACAGAGTTGTGGAATGTATGTATAAGACTATCTTTAACAGTGTACATACATGTCTGTTATCAGCAAAGTTACCTATGAAATTCTGAGTATATACAGTACAATATTAAACATTTATTCATAACAGAACACTGAGAGTTGCTATTAACTTTGCAACACTATATTACAAACAGTATAACAAACATTATCAAATAGATAATATATGAGAATTTGGCACATATTGTATCATACAGAACAAACAAATGTATAAACTACAACCTAGAGGCTAATATGTATGATAGCTAGGTTATGATACTAACAGTAAAGGTTACTTAGTGTGCTATGATAATAAAGTTACTGTTGAATGTAATGTACAATTCATAGACAAACCAATGTCTAGGATTGAAGGGGAGAATAATTATAACAGTGATACATCAAACAATGATAAAACTCTTCCTAATAATAATAATAAAGATAAAGAACCTGTTATACAATACTCTATACAAGAGCAAAGACTGGCTAAACAAACTATAGGTTTAAATTACAAAGACAATATAAACCTAGTTATGTATCTAACAGAATTTAACAAATTCCTTAACAAAATCTATAGTAATCTATTAATGTATTACAATACTATAACACACATAGACAAAGAACAGTGGATCAGAGCTATGAAGGATGAAATACAGTCACTTCAACAACAAAACGTGTGAATATATGCTATCCCCCCTACAAATACAAATATAATTGGAACGAAATTTGTCTATAAAATCAAAAGACTGGCTAATAGCTGAATAGACAAATACAAAGCACAATTTGTAGTGTAAGGATACACTTAAAAGAATAGAATAGACTTCTATTCTGACAACTTATTTGCCCCAGTAACAAAACTATCAACAGTACAATTATTGTTATCTTGGGCAGCATCTAAGAACTACAAAATACATCAGATAGATGTAAAATCCACATATCTTTATGGAGAACTAAATGAGGACAAAATCATTTATGTGAAACTGCTGCCAGGCAAGCTACTTACAGATATTAAACCTAGACAGGCATTACACTTAAATAAAGTGTTATACAGATTGAAACAAGCAGGTAGACAATGGTACAAGAAGATTACTAAACTACTGCTTAAGATTGGATTAGAATGAGCTAATTACAATCACACTGTATT